CTGCATCTGTTAGCTGAAATATGTCAGTTGGTATACCATCTATTCCTGGGGCCTTATTTTTTTGCCATTTCCTTCAAAGCAGCTTGAACTTCTTCCTTCATCACCATAGGCTCTTGCTCATATGTTGTTTCAAGAAATTCTTCTGTGACTGCCAATTCCTATAGAGCAGCTAATAGACTCAAATCACATGTCTTCGGTATTTCAGTGCCCGCCTTTAGGTAGGTAAAATAGCTCCTTGCCACTCAACCTACAGTGCTCCCTATGGAGACCCTTTTTCTGTGTCATCGAGTAGGAACCAACTCACAGCTGACCCTCCAGTGGATTTTCAGAGGCAGAACTTCACATAGCAGACCCTAGGTAGTACAGATTGTCAATTGCTAACTGAAAGATTCTTGGTTCAGGTCCTCCAAGAGGCACCTTGGGAGAAAGATCTGGCTATCTTCTTTCAAAATGTTAGCTGTTGAAAAGCCTGGAGCACAATTTGATTCTGCACATGGAGTAGCCTAGAGTCAGAGTTGACTTAATGACAGATCCCTCTCTCATTGCCATTGAGTTGGAACCAACTCATGATTGACCCTCCAGCAGGTTTTCAGAGGCTGTAATTTCAGAGGAGGAGACTCCTGCTGATGGATTTGAATTGCCATAGAGGCACCAGCTTTGGGTTAGCAGACCAGGCCACCAAATCTCCTCAATGGCAAATGTTTATTCCTGGCTATTGAATACTTTTTTCTAATAAAGAATATTTTATTGTGTTTTAGACAAAACTTCTTTTATACAGAAGTTTAGGGTTTCACTCAACAATTTCTCTACAAGTTTTATAGTGCTCTTTACAGTGTGTGGAGATTCTGGTTATTTCATTTCTGTTAATCTATTTTCTCTGCTCCCTTATATTCTTATCTTTGTTATAAAGTAATTCTGATAATTTTGGCCTCGTATTGTTATTGTTGTTGTTAGGTGCTATTGAGTTGAGTATGACTCATAATGACCCTGTGAACTATTGACCTGAACTCTTGCCCTATCTTGTACCATCCTCATAATTTCTGATATAGTAAAACCCATTGCTGATGTCACCAAGTTAATCCATCTTATTTTGGGATCTTCTTCTCCTTCACTGACCTTCCATCTTTCCAAGCATGATATCCCTTTCCAAAGAATAGCCTCTCCAGCAACATGTCTTATATAGATGACTTTTAAAAGAAGCCCAGAACTCAAGGGTAACAATGCATTTTGTTTTGAGTCAATTTGTGATTTCCAAAGTGACTTAAGATAGTTTGCTTTAAATTTTGATGAAATGGTTCTTGACGCTCTCACAGTAGTAGTTTTAAGGGCTCTTCACTCTTAATGAATTGAGGAAGTCAGGCATTACTGAAATTTTGAAATTCTGTTTTACATTCTCCTTACTTTGATTAGAATTTTTCTGTGGAATCTTTGGCCAAAATACTCAGTCTTAAGTAACTGGGCACTGTCCATTTCTTCTGGTGTCATAGCAAAGGAAGCAATTGTTCATAGAAAGAATAATCCACATATTCTACATCTTCCTCCTGTTTCTGACTCTCCTTCTTTATTGTTCTTGGTGAAGAGAACCAATTATTGTGCCTTGAATGACTATTTGGAAACTTTTTAGACCCCAGAATTATGCAATGAACTAAGAGTTAGAACAGAAGCACTAAATATATTATTAGGACAGTTAAGTGGAATGACCCATGAAACCATGACTCTGAGCCTCCAAACCAAGGAATCAAATTCCATGAAGTTTTTCATTATATGTAAGAAGACTCAGCAGCTAATATTTTAAACCTTGACTATTGCAGAAACATATGATAGATAATTTGCCAAAGAGGACAGTCAGATAGCATGTAAAAAAAAGGACAGGCATCATTAGCTATTAAAGAAATGCAGATCAAAACCACATTAAGAAACAAAGTCACTCTCCCTAGAATGACTAAGATTAAAAATAGAAGAAAATAGTAAGTGGTGCTGAGGATGTGGTCATCTTATTTATTGCTGATGGGAATGTAAAATGGTACAGTTACTATGGAAAACTGGGTTAGTTAAAAAGAAAACCACACGGAAAAACCCCAAAACAAGCAAACAAACAAACAAACTTAAAACTAATCTTCTAACTAAGCCATTCTACTACTAGTTATTGTTGTTGGTATATGCCATCGAGTCACCTGTGACTCCTGGTAGCCGTGTGTACAACAGCATGTTTTTAATAGCCAGCGGTAGAAACTGTCTGTCCCCCAGTCTGCATGCGTACCAGTAGGTGAATGGTAAACACAATGCAATACTACTGAGCCAGGGGGAGGAATAAAGATTTTTTGTTCTGAAGGGTTTTTTTTGTAAAGTCTTTTGACAAACAGTTTTATTTTTTTATTGTCCCATTTATTTTCTTCTTTTGCTGTTTGTGCTTTTTTTATACTTGGCAACCCACTGTTAAACACTAAGCCTGACAATGTTGCCCGGCTTTTTCTTCTGAGAGTTTTTTGGTATTAATTTGTACATTTTGGGTTTTTTTTTATAGTGGGGGGCATGGATATTGTTTCATTATTCTTGTTGTAGAAATCTAATATTCCTAGCACTATTTATTGAAGACCTCTTTCCCTGCTCTGTGGACATTGTTAGAAATCACTTAACATTGTTGTTATGTGCCATTGAGTTGGGGTCTGAACCATGTCATATCCTGTGCCATCCTCATCATTTCTGACACACTTGAGCCCATTGCTGAAGTCACTTGTTGAGGGTTGTCTTCTCTCTCACCAACCCTCCACCTTTCCAAGCATGATGTTCTTTCCCAGGTGTAAAAAGAGCAAAGACTATGTGGAGACAGCTATATATGATCTTTACCAACTTCACAAAGGGGAATTGTCCCTGTCAGCAACATCAACAACACAAACCCAATTCCCATGAGTTCAGACATGTCCCCCATGCTCTCCATACCTCTTTCTAATCATCCCAACATCAATCTTACTGCTTTAGTGGGTCCAGAATCTGATGTGCTAGTTCATGGCCCACAGAGAAGCACAATGGGGCAGTCAAAAAGGCTCAGATTAGGAGCAGAATACAGTCCAGACAGCTTCCATAATGTAGTCTTGACCCCCATGACTTTAGGCCAGTGTTAAGAAGTTCTCAGTCTTGCCAATATTGGCTTTCCCATACCACCTTCCCCTCCAGTTGTTCAGCAAACTTGGGCAAAGGGTCATAGCTTAGCTCTCATTCTGTCCATGGGGGTAGCAGTATCAAGGCCAGCTCTATCTCTTGTTGGTCTCTGTCTTCTGCTTTGGCCATGGCTGCTGCTGCTGTAGGTAGCTGGTGCAAGAATTTCTGGACCCAAAGGACATGCTGCCTTCTCTTGTTTTTTCTTAGCTGGTGGGGAAGATCTTCAGTTCTGCTACTAGTTCCACTCAGCTTAACATGTCCCATCAGCACTGCTGACCTAGCATGCAAGAGAGTTGTTGGTAAGACTAGCCAATCCCATTGTGGCTAACACACCATATTTATATATTCCTTCCAATCCATATGACAGAGCAAAATTCAGTGGCTAGGAAAGCCATTTTGAATAATAAACTCTACACAAGGAATAGCTCCTCCTAACAACATGCCCACAGTATATAGAACAAGCAGATATGGCTTAGAGAAAGTATAGCTGGAGTGCTTCTTGGAAGCAAGGATGGTGAAGCTTCATCTCACATATTTGGACAGTTGATTCCAGCCAGATGTGTGGGTGTATTTTTGGATGCTACGTTCTGTTCCATTGATCTCACTTAATTACTGCTCTCAGGTCTGCTCTAATTAATAGAGATCTTCCATTAAGCTTCCAAGAGTGAAAATCACAGTGGGAGGAAACGTCTCATCTTTCTTCCTTGGAACCACTGGTGAATTTAGAGTGCTGGAGAAGTTCAGCCTTTGTAGAAGTGGCACAGCTGTACCACCAGAGCTCCCCTCCAAAAGTGTGTGTCTATTATTGTATTAACAACAAAGCTTTCATTACTGCTGCTTTATAATGTGTTTTAAAACCCAGAACTATTAGTCCTTCTATTTTGTTCTTTTCTCTTAGCGTTGCTCTATTTCGGACCTCTTGCCTTTCCAGTATGAAATTGAAGATTCTCCATGCCTTTGATATTTATCAGTGTTCTAGCATTGATGAACGTTTCCTCACTTGTTTGTGTGGAGTGTTTTTTATATATTATATATATAAATAAATAATACTCTTTCATGTGGAAAGGCCATGTTTTGTTTATCCATTCGTCTACTGAAGGATGTTTAGGTTATACTCACCTTCTGTCTCTAGTGGTAATGCTGCTATGAGTCTTCTTTTTTAAACTTTTATTTTATTATTTTGTGTGTGTGTACCGTCAAATCGGATCTGACTGGTACAGGAGGAGGTTGCCCCTCCTTCTCCAGAAGAGCATCTGGTGGATTTGATCCGCATACCTCTGGGATTGCAGTGCAGATGAGTCTTCTTATGTAAGGACTTCTTGGGACTTTTTTTAGAATGCTGAGTTAGATGGTAACTTTGTGCTTAATCATTTGAAGAACTGCCAGGCTATTTTCCAAAGTGACTACACCATTTTGCATTCTTAATTTTTCAATGTTCTTGCAAATAGTTTTTATCTATATTTCTTTCTGCAATCATCCTGTTATTATTAAATGTTGTTGAGTTGACTGTGACTCATAGCAACCTTATGAGCAACAGCTTTGAACCTTGCCTCACATACTTTGGGAATGTCAGGAGGGGCTAGTCCTTGGGAAAACATTTTGCAGGGAAAGGCAAAGTGTCAGAGAAAGAGACGATGTCCCTCCATTAGATGGATTGATACAGTGGTCATACTAGTAAGTATGAAAAGAATCCTACCTAGGAAGTACTGATAGCTTTTACATTGACTGAAATGGTGTTGAAAGAAGTATACTAGACCTGCTCTCCTTGCATCAAGAATTCACAGATCAAGTCAAGACACTACAGTCATTCTGACTTGGTTTTCTTTTTTCTTCTTCCATAGGTTGTGGTTACCAACACAATTCCACATGAAATTCAGAAACTCCAGTGCCCCAAAATTAAAACTGTGGATATCAGCATGATCCTTTCTGAAGCTATCCGTCGGATTCACAATGGAGAGTCTATGTCCTACCTTTTCAGAAATATAGGATTAGATGACTGAAAAGCGTCTCTTTTTTTTAGAACTCCCAAGGGTCAAACTGGAACCAAACACACAAGACCACAGACTTCACTAGACTTTACTTGACTTTGTGTATTTGACCGGAACCAATTTGCCCTTCCACCACTATACCCTTTCTTCTTAATCTGTATAAGATAACTTTTTAAGTGATTCAGGTGTTTGTGCTTTGGAAAGCAAATTTTAGAAAAGAAAAACTTACCCTATTAAATAAAGTAATTTAAAACCTCATTGTTTTTTGTTTTACTATTTAAAAGGTAACACTTAAGTCTCTTTTCAGAGTTGCTCGAGTCCAAATGTTTAATCTACTATTTGACACTTGCAGTGTAAAGGTAAAAAAAAAAAGCCAGGTAGTATGATCCTTCTGAATATTGAAGGTCTAGGCATTGCCTGTGTTTTTCTGCCAGAGTAGAAAAACATGTTTTTCTATAAGAATAGCTCCAATGAGCCTCAGGCCAGTATACTTTGGGCATGTTGCCAGGAGGGGCTGGTACTTGAAGAAGGAGGACATCATGGTTGGAAGGGCAAAGGACAATGTAAGAGAGGAAGAACCTGGAGGAGATGGATTGACACAGTGACTAGGGTAATGGAGGTGGGTGTGTTGGAAACAGTGAGATTGGCGCAGGACAGGACAAGGTTCAGAACTGTTGTGCATAGGGCCACTATGAGTTGGAAGCAACTCTACAGCACATAACAACAACCACAACATTCGACCACTTGGTGACAATCTTGACCCAATCATGAAGGAAAAGTTAAGATTTTTCTCACAGAGAAAAACTAGTTTTCCTCTTTTTTTAAAAAAGAGAGCTCTTTGCTTTCTGCTTGTTTATGCTTAGGTTGTTGCAGTATGACACCAGGTGACTGTGACTTACAGTGACTATATGACAAAACCACACAGCTAGATCCTGTGCTGGAGTTCATATTGCAGCCACTGTGCAAGACCATCTTGTTCAAGGTTTTTGTCTTCTTTTACTGACCCTTCATATTACCAAGACAGTCCCCTCCTGATCAACATGCCCAAAGTATGTGAGAGGAAGTCTCACCAGACTTACTTCTAAGTCATATTCTGGGAGTACTTCCTCCAAGACAAATTTGTTGTATTGACAGTTATGGGATATTTGATATTCTTTACAAACATCACCATTCAAAGGCATAGTTTTTGCTTTAGTTTCCCTTACTCATTGTTCAATAGTCACATGCATATGAGGTGATTAAAAATACCATGACTTGAGTCTAGCACATCTTAGTCTTTAAGGTGACATCTTTGCTCTTTAGCACTTTACAGAGATCATTGACAGCAGATTGCAGTAATTCCTTGGTTTTCTTTGATTTTTAGACTACTCTTCCTTAGTTGTATAATGCCATTTTTGCAATATCTTGTCACATCCTCTATGTACCTTCTTTCCCCCCTCACCCTACCCAACCATCCACTAATCTCTGCTCCATCTCCTTCCTCTCTAATCCCAGTCAGCTTCTGTGATTGTTTCTACCTGTGTGTAAACCATCCTTAGCTCTTCCCTTTCCCTGTTAAGTCAGTTATGCATATCCTTCTAGATTGTTAATTTTAACACATACAATATCTGATTGTCCAATCATTTCAAATTGACCTTCCAATACAGGGTTCATTATCTGTGTGTTCATTTCTTGCTTTCCCAGTAATTATATTTTTGTTACTATGGTTTTATGCTTGCTCTAAATCATTTGCTGTGCATCTGAGAGCAGTGAACAATGAATGACAACAATGACTAAGGATGACAGAAAAATAATCGATACCTTTGAGCCATGTTGTTGCACAGGAGTGCTGAATATTCCATGGATTACCAAAAGAACAAAAACTCCTCTTGGAAAAGGTGCAGTCAGAGTGTTCCTTGGATGCAGAAATAACAAAGCTTATCTCATACTTTGGGCATTTTGCTAAGAGAGGCTGTTCTTTGGAGAAGGACATCATGCTTGGGAAGGTGGAGGGTTAGTGAAAGGGAGGAAGACCCTTAACCAGATGGATTAATGCAATTACTGTGGCAATGGGCTTAAGTGTGTCAGGGATGTTCAGGATGGCACAAGGTAGAACAACAGGGTTCAGATCTGTTCATAGGGCCACTGTGAGTTATACATGACTCAATGACAACAGCCTAGCAACAGACAGCAGAAGTATCCATACAACCTAGACACACACACCCCTTCTTACTGGGAAGGAATATTGATAAGAGACTGCAACCATCCCCAGCCCAGTGTGCCTTAAAATGCTCTACTTGAACAGAATTTGTAAACACCCTTTGTAAAAAAAGTGAGATGAGCATAAGGATGGCCACTCTTGACCTTTGCTAATTCCACAAGGTGGAACTGTCCCCATCAAGAACATCCACAGCATAAAATCAATTTCCATGAGATCAGACATGGCCTCCCCCCCATGCTCCCACACCTACATCTGCTAATTCCAGCACCAATCCTACTGCTCTACTCCTGGATCCAAAATCCACTGGAATACAGACTTTAGAACTCTGTTCAGTTATAGGGACAAGAAGATACAATTTCTCAGGAGAGTGTCTTTTTTTTTTTAAGCGTTCCATATTTTTATATATGATTAGGTATTATTTGCATGACAACAGTCCAGAGTAAGAGGGGCACAGCGAAGTGGACTGGGGGAGGGTAAGGGAGGGAGGAAATTGTACAACAATGAAAGAATCTTGTTAAAGAGAAAAGCAAACTGGGGGGAGGGGCAGGGAGAAAAATATGCAACAATGAATGAATGGAAATCCAAGTTTTCTGTAAACTTTTGTTAAAATATAAATAAAAAATAATAAATGGCTAGTACTCATTTGTTGTTGTTGATTGCCTTC